TTTTGGATTTGCGAAAATGACCAATAAAATCGCAATGCGATCTCTAATTCGTATTGCGATCTCCACTATCGCAAATTCGCGTTGCATTTCGCGTTGCGATAGTTGAAAATCGCGTTGCGGTTTTCCATTTCGCGTTGCGATAGTCTACAGTTGTCGTTGCGATTTTCCAAATTCGTTGTGATAGTTAAAAAAAATATTTTGTTTCTTAAGAATTTTCTCTAAAAAGATAGTATCCGCGCGGACGTGTCGAAAACATGTATTACCACGACCACGACCACGACCCGACCCGACCATACCCGAGACGGACGGCGGCGGCGGCGGCGCGCGAGAGTCCTCCTTGTTCTCTATCACTCAACAAGGAAGTAGGAAAGCCAAGCCTTAAATATCATTCCCAATAGTGTTTCCAATACTATGTGGGATTGAGCATTACCAACACTTGTTTCCAATACAATGTGATTATTCAGGAAACAATTAACAATCATGCACCTTAAAACAACTGAATTAGCAACCAATTGCATTAGTATTATACGATTAAATATGTCATAATTAAAAGTCATCTACAATCAATCGCGATTATTAATTTTAAGCAAAACATTCAAAATAATATCACTATTTAAGGCTCAATCCCACATAGTATTGGGAACAAGTGTTGGTAATGCTCAAATCCCACATAGTATTGGAAACACTATTGGGAATAGTATTTAAGGCTTGACTTTCTCACTTCCTTGTTGAGTGATAGAGAACAAGGGGGACTCTCGCGCACGGCCGCCGTCCGTCTCGTCTCGTCTCGGGTCGGGTCGGGTCGTGGTCGGGTCGTGGTCGTGGTCGTGGTCGTGGTCGTGGTAATACGTGTCTTCGACACGTCCGCGCGGATACTATCTTTTTAGAGAAAATTCTTAAGAAACAAAATCTTTTTTTTAACTATCACAACTGTAGACTATCGCAACGCGAAAATGAAAAATCGCAACACGATTTTCAACTATCGCAACGCGAACTGGAAAATCGCAACACGATTTTCAACTATCGCAACGCGAACTGGAAAATCGCAACGCGAACTGGAAAATCGCAACGCGAAATGGAAAACCGCAATGCGAAATGCAACGCGAATTTGCGATAGTGGAGATCGCAATGCGAATTAGAGATCACATTGCGATCTTGTTGGTCATTTTCGCAAATCCAAAAAAAAATGGTCAAAATTGTATATTATCTTGGATTTTTTGTCACTGAGGTTATTTTCTCTTATTTACATATTAATCATTTAGATTTTGACAATATACCCTAAACCCCCGATAACCTAAAAATTTTATTATATTTTATCTATTTTTTTAATATTAATCATATTATGAGTTTTAAAAAATATTATTTGAATTACTTTAATCATTTCAATTTCAATTAACTTCGAATCAAATTTTCAAGAAAATTAACTAGTTAATTTAAGTATAAAATGTGTAATTTATCTATTTTAATATTTATTTGATAAGAACAATTCAACTAGTGACGTGTTAAGGTACGTCGCTTTAATGATTTGGTGCGATATACAACATGCACTTTTGAATTTTCCCTAAGAATAGAATTTGGCTTGGTGGTTGGTGTTATGTTTTCTCTCTGGACAATCCAGATTTAAGTCTCAACAATTGCGTATTTCACTAAATTAACTTTAAGAGTAATTACGTTTAGTACTTAAACTATCAGTTTTAGTCTGTTTGATATTTAAACTTTTATTTTTTTCAAAATCATACCTAACATTTAGTTTTTGTTTCATTTTAGTACCTCGCCATTAAAAACTTATCGACGCTACATTTTATGGGTAAATTACATCATTCATCACTCAATTATCTTCTCATTCTTATTTTGGTACTAAAGTTTAAAAAATTTCAATTTAACTACTCAACTTTAAAAATGCTCGTATTTACATCACTCTAATTTATTTTATTAATAATTTTGTGACATGATTTTTTATTATTTTATTAATATAATTAAAAATAAAAACATTATTTTTTAAATTAGAGTGATTGAATAGTAGTAATTTGAAAGTTAAGTAATTTAATTGAAAAAATAAACTTTAGTGGCCAAATTGGTGATGAAATGCAATTTATCCATAAAAAGTGCACGTGCAAATCTCCCGCTAAGTTTTTAACAACAAGGTACTAAAACAAAAAAAAAAACTAACATTAGGTATAATTTTGAAAAATTGAAAGCTTATGTACTAAAACGGACCAAAACTGATAGTTTAGGTACTAAATGTGTAATTTACCCTAAATTTAAATCAATGAGATGATGGCATGTCATCATTTTATGGATGAAGAATATTAAATAAAAAATTATTATATTTTGTCACATTATTATTTTTGATTAATTTGTGGTAATTACAATGCAATATATGTTCAAATATAATTTTTAATCATTTGACATTAAACGCTCATATCCATGATATTCCTAGTGCTCAAACCTAGGACCTCAGAAAATAACAACTCCTTGACCACTGAGGTCACATTAACACCTTATATATGTGGTACTACCATATCAGGTATAATGCCATATGGGTCTGCCACGTGATTCAAGGTATTGGTGTGAGTTGATTAATGTTCTACCTGCGAGAGGGTTCTTTTGTCTCAAAATAATATATTGGGTCTAAAGTACTAAAACATAGGTTAAATTATACATTTAATATCTAAACTATCAGTTTTGGTTCGTTTAGCACCTAAACTTTCAATTTCAAATTATACATAAAGTTTAGTTTTTATTTCATTTTAGTACCCTATCGTTCAAAACTTTAGTTTGTTTCATTTTAGTACCCTCATTCAAAATTTAACATTATGTTTTGAAAAATTGAAAGTTCAGGTACTAAAGCAGACCAAAATTAATATTTTAGGTACTAAACGCGTCAAGTTTTTAACGACGGATACTAAAATGAAATGAAAACACATATTATGTATGATTTTGAAAAAATAAAGTTTAGATATTAAACACCAAAATTGATAGTCTAGTTACTAATGTGTAGTTTACCGAAAAATAATAGGAGTCAAAGTGATTATTTTGTCAAACATTAATTTTTTTTATCATCATGCCTAGTTTAAATGAGAATTAACATAATCATAATGTTAGAATTAATTATATTTAAATTTAAATAAAAACTCGAATAAATATATTAGATTTGACTCTATTCAAAATTCATAAATTTAGTCGAACTGCAAATTCAATAATTTTAAATAATCTTATAAATTAGATTAGATTTAATTATAAAACAAGTGCCTAAACGATTTCATTTTTCATGAATAGGCACCTAAACTATTTTTTGAATGATCCCGATGCCTAACGTTATAAGCATTACCATTTTAGGTTCATGGGTCGAGCCATAAACGTCTTTAATTTCCTCCATTAAGAGACACGTGTTACATTCTTGTAATTTTAAAATTTATCTTTTTAAAAAAATAAAAAATATTATTAGATTTATAACAAAAAACCCTAAAAAATCCTAAATCCCTAATCCTAACCTCCCGCTATCACCTTTTTCGAACACGGCCATTGTCGCTGACGTACTCTTTACCATCTTCCTAGTTATACGCCGTCGTAGTTGTCGTCATTGGCCATCAGAATCGCGTGAGATCATAATTTTTATCTTAGGGTTCGTGGGGGTACAAAACACCTATTGACCATCGATTGATCGCGATTTCATAGGAGTATTATTCATCGAGGGGAGGTGACGTTGGGTGGAGCTTCATCGACGACAAATGATGATAGTCGGTATGGGTTTAGGGGTTAAAATGAAGGTTTTCAAAATTTTAATTTTTTGAAAATTCTATGAATTTTAAAAATATATATAATTTTAGTTTTTTAATATTAAATAATTTTTTTAAAATTATCAAAATGTAACATTTAACGAAGAAAATTTACGATGTTTACAACCCAAACACCTAAAATGATAATGTATCATTAAACACATAATCATTTAAAAATAATTTAAACACATATTTATGAAAAACACTATAATTTGATGACTTATTTTATAATTGAGTCATTAGATTAACTCAAAATTTTCCATTGGGCTCAATTAAATACTAAATTTTATAACCTTATACGTGTATTCAGCTCATTGGTTCAAGAGTGACCCAGGCTACCTATCGGTGGGCCGAACATTATAGTCCTGGTAGGCCAACATTTAACACCACGTGTTGGGATCATATCAGGGGACTCAGTTTTTCGTGCCCCTTGAGATCGTAACCTGTACAATTATGTAGGGTGACTGACCAATCAATGAGTTGTAACCGACCGAGGGCCCCACTAAATCAAGTTGCCCGCATGTAATTTTACCGTTGATCTGGGCCGTTCTTTTGGCGGCTACCCATTTCAAGCTGAACGTATCCCCCCACTGCCGCTTTTTTCCTCCAATAGCCTTTCCTCGTTTCCCCTCTTCTTCTCTCTCTTCCCAAAGATTTTAACACATTCATTGGTTGAAGCTTAGTAGTAGCTTTGCTTCTTTATTTGTCGAGCTTAGAGCTCTTTTTACTCCATCTTTCGTCTCTTTCAATTTGTTGTTAATTTCCCAAGGAAAAATAAGAAAATAACACAGTTTTCTCAGTTTCCATCATTCTTCTACTCAATTCTCTGTTTTTTTTCTTCAATTCTTTAAAGTTTCCAAATTGGGTTTTCATTTCCAGCCCTTTTTGTTTATTGGGTTCAGCTTAGTTTCTTGGATTCTGCTGTCAACTTCTCCTTTTCCCCCTAGTTGGGTTATCGAGGAAGTTGAAGCTCAGTGTTAGTTGTTTCAGTTATTACTACTCTACAAAAGAGAAAAAAATATATAATTATTTTTCTCACACATGTTATAAATATAGAGTTGTTATCCCTGTTTCATTTCAAAAAGTTTTTATGGGTATTTCCTCTTTTACGGCTTGTTCTGTTGTTAGTATTGAAAAGTTCACACCATTTTAGATCTTTAAATTGTGTGGATTTGTGGTGTTAGGGTTTTCATTAGTGTTTTTACTTTGTAGTTCTTCTTTCAATTTTTTTTAAGTGGGTATTTTCTAGATTCCTCGAGGACTGCCTACACACTTAAAAAAAAGTATTTCGATTCCTTGCAAATGCTGCCTGATTTAACGCTGATATTTTTCCTATGATACCCTATCAACTCTTCATTTTCCGAATAGTTTCTCGCTCTGTTTTAATTCTTATCGAATGCTATAACGGGAATTCCATTCTTCGAGTGATCAATCTTCTGAAACGATTAGTGAATTAGGAACTTGTTTGGACAAAACTTCCGCGTTTTGGCGGTTTTTGTTGGTTAAATTTGATACATGAAGTGGGACATGGAAATTCTGTCGTCAGCATCTTATCTCTCCAGCACAAATTGGTTTGCTGAAGAGAGTAAGAGCACGAAATGGACATCAGCAGAGAACAAAATGTTCGAGAATGCCTTGGCGGTATACGATAAAGATAAGCCGGACCGATGGCAAAAAGTGGCTGCGATGATCCCGGGGAAGACGGTAGGAGATGTAATCAAGCAATATAGAGAATTAGAAGCTGATGTTAGCAGTATAGAAGCAGGGCTGGTTCCAATTCCTGGGTATAACACCTCTCCATTCACATTGGATTGGGTGAATAGCCACGGCTATGATGAATTGAAACATTCATATGGTCTCGGTGGAAAGAGATCTTCATCAGGCAGGCCTGGAGATCATGAGAGGAAAAAAGGGGTTCCTTGGACAGAAGAGGAGCATAAGTAAGTTTTCACTTAAAATTTTATAGTAATTCATAACAAATTATAATTGTGCTCATTCTTTTATGATCCATACTATCTGTTTGTATCGGCAGTACCTTCAGGCTAAGAAATTATTTGTGAAGATTTTAGTTGTTTGAGTAATATAATTTTCTTTTGGTTTCTAATGGATTTTTAACAGATTGTTTCTAATGGGGCTAAAGAAGTATGGCAAAGGGGATTGGAGAAATATATCTCGCAATTTCGTTGTCACTCGGACACCGACTCAGGTGGCTAGTCATGCTCAGAAGTATTTCATCAGGCAGCTTTCAGGAGGGAAGGATAAGAGAAGAGCTAGCATTCATGACATAACAACAGTCAATTTCAGCGACGTGAGAACTGCTTCCCCGGACATTCAGATGCAATCAGCGGAAAATACCCTAGAACACCTATTGTGAGTTCCTCCTGCCAGAATTAATTATGTAGCTGTCTTGTGCTTTTATGGTTTAATGTTTATTATCAAGACTTGATTAGTCATAGCTCAAAACAAGAGGTGATAGGATTGTTTTGCTAGGAACTTGAGAGTATGAAATGTGAAAACTCCGAGGGAAGATTCTTAAAGGAGGATTTCCCTGTATTCAGGATTCTGTAGTTGAATCTGATTTCCCTTGGCCAATTACTATGCTACTCGGTAATAGTGGTGAGCTTATCCTGATTGCATAGACATGCGGGGTATGAATTCCGGATAAGGCTTCTTCGAGTTTAGGAATATGATTTGAAGCATAAGAGAAGAATACACAACCTTTTTACTATATTTGGCACCTTAAGAAGGCTCAAAGATAAGATCAGATTGGACCATACATGCATCGGCTAGCAGGTTTTTTATTGCAGGCTCACACGGAGAATGAAGCATAGAATAAGCATCTACAACCAGAAGTTCAAAGTTTAGACAGTTGCAAGCATGAACGAGTGGTTGTAATTTTCAGAAGTTCATCAACTAGGTGTAAAATTTTGGCAGTTCCATGTTGTAAATCCTAGTAATTTGATTCAAGACCAATAATTCCAGTTTCCAAGAAAAGAAAAGACTTCAAATTTTGCTTCTATTGAAAAAGTTGTAGTCTATAGGTTGAAAGGCTTTGGAGCATCCCGCATGTAGGGTAAAATTTCTAGGTAAAGCCTCAACCATTATAATGGCTGTGCCAGTACATTTTTGAACCGGTTTTGTTGGTTCTTAGCTCATATTGACCGAGTCATAGGGCATTTGAGAGTATTGCAGTAAACCCATTTTTCCAAATAACCCAAAATGGCCTACTTGACTTTTCTTGACCTTCAAAACCGTAGTCGAGGCTGACTCTGAAACCCACTAACTTGAGCATCATATTCTTCAATGCTCCCTTTTTCTTCCCTCGAGATCTTTGTTAAGAGATCGTCTTGTGAAAAAGAAGATTCCTCCTTGTACGTTATATAGGTATTGGTTACACTCATTCAAAAGCAAGGTTCAGGTTAGATTGCCCTGTTGATTTCCTCGTTATTTATATAATTGAAGTAAAACTAAAACCCTTTTTAAAGTGTGTTTATCCAAGATCTTCCTTTCAATCTTCTTAACAATGGTGGCAACTGGCTAGTCCATGATTTTGTGATACTAAGTGCACGTCTGCAACCAACTTGATGAATATAGTAAAGGGTTCCACTTGTTTTATATCTTAAGCTCAAACTGTGAACCTTAATGGAGACAAACTATTAAGCTTTCATTGGATATAAAAACGTTTTTTCCCAATTTCTTTGAAATTTATGAATGAGCTTTTGAGAGCATGAAATTCTCTTTAGTGGGATTTCACTGACTTTAAGTTTCTTTCATAAAATGAGGGGAAAAAAGGAATCTTCTCGCTAATTAAGTGCTGATTTGAACTAATGATTTGTATCATTTTTAATAAGACAAATTAGAAATGATTATTAACTAATAGGACCCATATTGTTCATTGAATTGAAGTAAGACGTTTCATTCTTTTTTTCTCTCTCTCTCTTCCTAAACATTTCTTCTATGACCATATAATTATTTAACTTTACATTTTTTATTTCGACTTTAAAGACAAAATGTAAATACAAGGAGTTTTAATTTATTGTGCTATTCCCATTCCTTGTGCATTTTCTTAAGTTGTCATTTAGTATTTTTTTATTATTCTATATTTTTTCAATGATTTATACACTTAACTTTTGTAATGATTTAACAAGTTCTAATTAAAATATAAAAGTACTAACAAAGTTATAATAGAGATTTTTTTTAGTAAATATCTTAAGTGAGACATAATTTATCCAAACTAGCCTTAATTTATCCCAAAAAAATTAATAGAAAACCTATCCTACCACACAGAGTTGGTATCATATTGTATATTCAGTCCCATGTATGAAGCAAAGAAAACAGGGGGAAAAGGACTAATATGGTCATATCAAGTAGCTAGCCTTTTGAAGGTAGCTTGACAAAACTAGCCAGAATAGTCTAACAAAAAAGGCATCTGGGTAACTTTATTCTTATTTTTTTTTACCAGCATCTTAACAAGTTACGACCACATATATATTGTGTCATAATATGACACTTTCGGTTATCTGACATTATTCTGATTTGCTCTTAAGAAAACTAAAAAAAAATGATGTTTGTAACTGAAGCTCTTATCTGCAACTACATTGGGGGAAAGGGTAATTCCTATGCTGTTCTTCAATGGCTTAAAGTTGATTTGAAATTGATCTAATTCTGGGGGTCGTTGGACACATTTCAAAGAAGAAAAAGTATGCAATAATTAATGCAATCAAAAGAATGCATAACTGTTTCAAGTGAAACAAATTAGAATACAACAATGTGTTTTCAGGGTATCTTTAGGACAGTAGAAAATGATAAAGCAGAAAGGACATATATATGCCATTCAGAACATTAGTCACTAGTATTTTTTGATGGGCCTGAGATTTTGTTGAGAATGTGAGGGGGAGGTGGAGGGGGAAGGGGGCATCAATTCTTGTCCCGAGATTTCTTCTTATTAGATAAGACTCAAAATGCCCATTTTTTTTTCATGGATCAATTTCATCCTCAGAAATGCATTCATGCATGTTAAGATATCGAGCTTGATTTATGCTAGTGAAAACACCATAAATCACTATCAAGAAAAAGGAGAAACAGGTCCCTAGACATGATGACTGACATAATTGCCACTTGGAAACTGTGAGAGATTGAAGTGCCACAACAATGTGGTTTGAATTCATCCATTAGGCGCAAGCCTTACAAAGACAAAGTCCAAAAAGGAAAAAAATCAATGATGAAATTTGCCAAGGGACAAGATGTCTATGCCTTGATTATTAAAAAAGAAAAGATAACTGCCATTGCTGACCTGGCACTGCCGACCTGGGCCATGCAAATCATTTACTCTGTAGGTTTCTCCTTGCTGCATGTCAAACCAAAGCCAAGGGGAAACAAAGGATCACATGAATTGTCTCCATTGTTGATTGGCAGCTGTTTGTTTGTCCTAAACCATGTCATTGGCAATCGCCCCTCAAATTCGTAGTCTCCAAAAACTACATCAGAGATTCCCCTTCCTTCAGTTCCTGGTAACCAGGCAGCAATCAGAGCATCCATTTTCTCCAAAAGCCATGGCTCTATGAGCAAAGGTCTTCCAGATATCAGGATCACCAATGTGGGGATTCTGTCAGCAATAGTGCTTATTAGTTCACTTCCATTTAAGGGGATTGCTAGCTCCGAATTGTCTCCCGCAGACTCGGCGTATGGTTCTTCACCAACAGCTACAATGGCAAAAGAAAAGTCTGACTCATCCAAGGTGCTTGGCAAAGGACACTTTTCATAAACCACCTCTGTTTTTTCTCCCATCACTTCTCTGAATGCATCCAAAATTGTCGTGCCTAGAAAGAAATGAATCCAACATTCATATTACTTGTAGCCTAAGTAATATTTACATGTATATTTTAGATAATTTTCGATTCAATAACGTGGCTTCAACACATGATGCTAGACAGCCAGTTAACAATCATCAGTAATAGGCGAATACTATGTGAAACATACAATAACATCATATGTATTGGGAAGTTGAAGTGGAGAAGGAAAAATTTACAGATGGCTGGTGGGGTTTTAGTAAGGGGAAGAAAACATGTCTAGTTTTATATAACTGCTTACCAATTGTAATCCTGCCATTACTTCCTTGCCAGTAACGTGTCCAACCCCCGCACTGGTATCCGAGATCATCAGCATGTGTTCCAGCTATAATAATTCTTTTTGCATTTTTTTCCAATGGAAGGAAAGGCTTCCCATGATTCTTTCCATTCTTCAATAAAACTAAGGACTTGCGTACGGCTTCACGGGCTAGTTCCCTGTGCAGCTGCAGGAAATCATGGTGGTCACAATGAATCTATAAGGTCTGGTATAATATCAATTAAAAATTTTAAGCAGAGCGGCATTAGTTAAGACATTCAATATCTAAAGCAAATGACAGCAATAAAATTTGCATACAAATATATTCTTTAGAACAACAAAACGATTAATAATGTTCCAAGCATTTCTTGTGTGGTAAGTCATTGGAATCTGGAGAAACTTTGTAGAGCATATCACATATGATTGATGTTAACAGATTGAATGCTGAACTCAACAAATACTACCTTGCAGCCAACCGTATCTAGCAAAGATCTGTCAGAGAAGGGATATTCAAAAAGACCAGCAAACTTGACTCTCAGTATTCTTCAACAGCATCATCTATCCTGGACATTTTTATCTCCCCTGATTCCAGGATTCAAATCCTCAATAAATTGCTTATATCTATGAGGCACCATGACCTGCATACATGTTTTAGTCAGTTGAGAGTAGAAAAAGATATAAATCCCAAAAAGAAGTCTTTATGCCTTGAATCAAATTATACCATGTCTATTCCGGCACTAATGGCGGTATTAACACAATGACGATAGTTTGAGCCTCTTGGTTTACTAAGTCTGTCAAGTGCTTTCCAATCCGATATCAGAAATCCCTGCCACAGAGATTTCCCAAAAGCTTGAGAATCAAAACAGTATGTGCCTTCAGATATTGCAAATACGATGTCTACCTTGAAACCCAATTTGTCTTTCAAAATATCTGTCAAGAGGAATTGGTGAGCATGAAGTTTACATCCATTCCAACTAGAATAAGATGCCATAACTGTTGAAACTCCCTGATTAAGACAATCAAGGTAAGGTTCCATGTGGATCCTCTCTAAATCATCATATGATGATATAGTATTTCCCTCATTTATACCATTTTCTGTACCACCATCTCCAACAAAATGCTTGGCACATGCAATGACCTTGTATCTGAAATCAAATAAGTAAATCATTAAGTTCTAACCGTATCTAATGTGTTAGACTATTGGTAAACATGAATTTTATAAGAAATATATAGTGAGCTATATGTAGAAAAACCGATGTAAAAAGGTGA